GAGGGTGGGTGGAGGGTTTCTGGGGGGAGTGGTAGAAAGGGCTGGGGGAGGGTCTTTTGGGGGGTTAGGAGAGCAAGGGCTGGGGGAGGCTTTGGTGGGAGAACAAGGCTGGTTGGGGTCTTTTGAGGTCGGGGCTGGGATCTGGAGGGTTGAGTGGAGGAGTTATTTTGGGGGGGGCAAGAGACTGAAGCCTGCTGGAAGGGCTTTTTGGGGTGTGTGTGTGAGAGGCTAGGCTGTCCCAGGCCTGACCCTGCTGTCTCCCCCCTCTTAGCCACGCCGTCTGCCCCACGCAGCATCGTGGCCAAAATCAACGGCTCGGTGGCCGTGCTGGAGTGGAGCGAACCCCTGGAAAACGGAGGCCGGGACGACGTCTCCTACCACCTCAGCTGCCACGAGTGCCCCGAACGGCAGAGCTGTCGGGAGTGTGCCCGCCTGGCCTACGCCCCCCGGTCTCGGGGGCTGGTGGACCGCACCGTCACCGTGGAGGGCCTGCAGCCCTACATCACCTACTCCTTCCAGATCCAAGCGGTCAACGGCGTCTCCGATCTCAGCCAGAACCCGCCCCAGTCGGAGTCCATCAATATCACCACCAACAAGGACGGTAGGTCGGCTCCTGGAACGCCATCGCTCGGACCGGGTTGCCCGAGCAGGACCTGAGCAGAGGTGGCCCCCACCCCTCTCCATGCCCCTCCCCCCAGGATCCCCTAGCTCAGAAGTGTGGGTCCTGACACAACTGACATAAAGGTACCATCTGCTAAAGAGCGATAATTGTCAGGCAGGAAAGACCGGGTCCACATGTGGTTGCAAATCCCAGGGACAACAGCAGAGGGCAGCCAAGGGTCGGGATGTTTCTGCCTCTCTTCTCTCTATCTCCATCTAGTGGTCGTGTTGATCTTTGCAGCCCAAATAAGACTGTCTAAGCCAGTGGTTCTCAACCTGTGGGTCGGGACCCCATTTGGGGTCGATCGACCATTTCATGGGGGTCGCCAAGCAAGGCTGTCCGCCATTTTTTTGTCCGCCATTTTTTTTGTCCACCATTTTTCCCCCTTTTCCGGCGGGTGCCTTACCTCCCTTGGGCTGGGCCAGCTGGTGGTCGGCCTGCTCCGTCTCTGCCGCTTGCCAGCTACGCCTCGGCCGGCGCAGGGGGCGGAACCATGCATGCGTGGCGCTCCTGGGCAGGGAAAGTCCTCGACTTACGACCGGTTTAGTCCTCGACTTACGACCGGTTTAGTCCTCAACTTACGACCGGTTTAGTCCTCGACTTACGACCGGTTGGGATCGCAGCATTAAAAAGGTTGAGAACCACTGGTCTAAGCTCTCCCTCGTTCCTTTTTTCTCTGGCCAGTCCCCCAGCCGGTGTCCGACATCCAGCAAACCTCCGTCAGCCCCAGCGGGGTCACCTTGGGCTGGCCACTCGTCCAGCCACCAACGGGCAACATCTTGGATTACGAGGTCAAGTATTACGAGAAGGTAAGTGTGGGGTTTTTTTCTTGCAAACTTTTTATTAACTTTTTTCCCCAGACTTAAAATACAAAAGAAAGAAAAAAAAGGAAAAACAAAACGAACGATGACCAGACATTAATAATAAAAGCAAAAAAAACCCCAAACCAATGGGTGTATAAAATGAAAAACAAATGACAAATCTATTGTTCAAAGCCCACCCTAGTTGAATGCTGAAAAATGTATCAAAAATATGAAATGTTGACTTCCCTTTTTTTGACCACACTTGGAATATGGCATCCAGTTTTAGAATAGAATAGAGCTGGGAGGGACCCTGGAGGTCTTCTAGTCCAGCCCCCTGCCCAAGCAGGAGAACCTACACCATCTCAGACAGGTGATTGTCTAGTCTCTTCTTTAAAACCTCCAGTGGTGGAGCGCTCACGATTTCTGATGGCAAGCTGTTCCACTGGTTGATTGTCCTCACTGTCAGGAAGTTTTTCCTTAATTCCAGGTTGCTTCTCTCTTTGATCAGTTTCCAGCCATTGTTTCTCGTCCTTCCCTCTGGTGCTTTGGTGAACAACCTGGCTCCTTCTGCCTTGTGGCAGCCCCCCAGATACTGCAATACTGCTTTTGATCACCACAATATAAAAAAGATGTTGAGATTCTGGAAGAAGTGCAGAGAAGAGCAACAAAGATGATTGGGGGAACCGAAGGCCAAAACACATGAAGAACGGTTGCAGGAATTGGATAGGTCTAGTTTAAGGAAAAGTAGGACATGATAGGGGTGACATGATAGCAGTCTTCCAATATTTGAGGGGCTGCCCCAAAGAAAAGGGGGGTCAACGTATTCTCCAAAGCACCAGAAGGCAGGACAAGAAGCAACGGATGGAAACTAAGCAAGGAGCAATCTAGAAGTAAGGAGAAATTTCCTAACAGTGAAGACAATTAACCAGTGGAACAACCTGCCTCCAGAAGCTGTGGATGCCCCATCACTGGAGGTTTTTAAGAAGAGACTGTTCAGCCATTTGTCTGAAATGGTATGGGGGGTCTCCTGCTTCAGCAGGGGGTAGGACTAGAAGACCTCCAAGGTCCCTTCCATATAATAATAATAATAATAATATTAATAATAATAATATTAATAATAATAGTAGTAGTAGTAGTAGTAGTAGTAGTAGTAGTAGTAGTAGTAGTAGTAGTAGTAAAGTTGGAAGGGACCTTGGAGGTCATCTAGTCCAACCCCCTGCTCAGGCAGGAAACCCTATACCATTTCAGACAAATGGCTGTCCAGTCTCTTCTTAAAAACTTCCAGTGTTGGAGCATTCACCACTTCTGGAGGCAGGTTGTTCCACTGGTTAATTGTTCTTACTGTCAGGAAGTTTCTCTTTAGTTCTAGGTTGCTTCTCTCCTTGATTAGTTTCCACCCGTTGCTTCTTGTCCTGCCTTCAGGCGCTTTGGAGAATAGCTTGACTCCCTCTTCTTTGGGGCAGCCCCTGAGATACTGGAAGACTGCTATCATGTCCCCCCTCGTCCTTCTCTTCATTAAACTAGACAGACCCAATTCTAGCAGCTGTTCCTTATATGTTTTAGCCTCCAGTCCCCTAATCATCTTTGTTGCTCTTCTCTGGACTCTTTCCAGAGTCTCAACATCTTTTTTACATTGTGGTGACCAAAACTGGATGCAGGATTCCAAGTGTGGCCTTACCAAGGCATTGTAAAGTGGTATTAACACTTCACGTGTTAATACCACTTATAATCAGTGGATAGGCCTGCCTCTAGAGATCGTGGATGCCCCGTCATTGGTATTCTGTTATTCATTGAGGATCAGTTTTCTGAACCCAGCGGGCTCTGGATTGTGTTTCTGCACCTTCACGGATTAAAACGGGGCAGCAAAGGGGTCCCTAACCTCTGTCTTTCGCTCTGGATTTGGGGCAAAGGAGGGTCTTTGCGAGATGCCCAGATATACAGTTCGCCCCATTGCTACAGCCTTACATCCTCGCCTCGATTTGGTACCCCCTTGAGAAAAACTGCCAATATTTGCTCATAAAATGTAGACTTGAATTATTTCTTTTATACCCACAGACACACACACACATACACACACACACACCAGGCTTTGCGGAACATCCTCTCCCTTTTAAGTTGAGCAGTAAATCCCCCGGCCAATATTTCTGGGGAGAGGAACCCCCCCCCTCTGGCGGTCATGCTTCTTGGAAGCCAAATGTACTTTTTTTCCACGGGAAGAACGGAAAAACCGAGGCCCTTCCGACGAGGCGCTTCCCACCTGCGGCTTTTTTTTTTTTATTATTCCTTTGTGTTTTTGGAGTTGAAAAGCGCTGACAGATTAATTGGTCGGTCAGACGGCTTTGAAGAGGATCTGCCTGACGATTGATCCGGTGTAATCCACTCCAGAAACTCGTTCGGGCTGAAAAGAGGGATAAATGCCTGTTTTAAGCCTGGCCTTGGAAAAAGGCGCCGGTTAAGGCTGGTGTCGCTCGACGGCTCCCGTCTCCGAGGGGACACGGGGAGGAGAGGACGGGTGCTGCTTCCCATCATCCTCAGCCAGGGGACTGGGGGTCCCGGCCCTTGTAATCCACTCCCCACATTAAGGGAGGCGGCTTTGGAAGAGGGACCGGCAGCCGTTTACCTCAGGAGGGCGCTTCAAATACAGGCAGCCCTCGACTTAACGACTGCAATCGAGTCCCAGATTTCTGTTGTTAAGCGAGACGGTCGTTACGTGAGTTTTGGCCCCCTTTACGTTGTTAAGGGAATCACTGCAGTCTTAGTCACACGGTTGTTAAGTGAATCTGGCCTCCCCCGTTGCTCGTCAGACGGTCGCAAAAGGAGATCGCCTGACTGCCCCTCAGGACACTGCGACCGTCGTGTGAGTCAGTGGCCGAGCGTCTGAATTTTGATCACGCGATACGGGGCTGCCGCGACGGTCGTAAGGGCGAAAAACGGTCCTTTTTTCAGTGCCTTTTGAACGGTTGCTAAACGAATTGTTGTGGAGGGCTACCTGTCTTCTCTTTTATCAGTGACACAGATAACCAAATTTAAGTTAAAAACATTAAACCTTAAAATATGAATAGGACAGGGGTAGGCAACGTTGGCTCTTTTATGACTCGTGGACTTCAACTCCCAGAATTCCTGAGTCAGCTCTGCTGACTCAGGAATTCTGGGAGTTGAAGTCCACGAGTCATAAAAGAGCCAAGGTTGCCTACCCCTGGAATAGGAGGAGCCAAATCAAAGGGCCTGTGTAAACAGAAGTGAGGGTCCAGTTTTGCCACTAACTTTTGCCAACTCTCCCTGGGGGTTTTGGAGACGGCGGTGGGAGAGGAGAGGACTCAAAAACCGCTGCCCAGATGTGCACGCCTGCGCTGAAACGAGGGAAGGGGGGCTTCTTCCTCCAGGGAACCTGGAAGAAGACACAGCTGGGGTGGGCTCTGATTCCCCATCTGCCCTCTTCCAGGGGGCCGGTGGACCCATGTTCGTGAAGACGTCCGAGAACCGGGTGACCCTGTCGGGGCTGCGTCGAGGATCCGTCTACGTTGTACAAGTCCGGGCCCGATCGGAGGCCGGTTACGGAGGGTTTGGACCAGAAAAGGCCTTCCAGACCCACGGAGCCGGTAAGACCCCCTCGGTTGCAAGCGAGGGGACCCCCGGTGGTTTTATTGCAGACGGATCGTGACCCCCCCCCCAACTGCCGTGTTTCTCCGAAATTAAGACCCGGTCTTCTATTTTGTTTTTTGCCTCCAAAAGAGGCAGCAATTTCGGAGAATGTCTTCCCTTAGGACCACCACAGCCGGGAGGTTTTTAATAGGTTTGCCATGAGGCCCTTTTAAAATGACCAGAAAAGAACAGAACGAGAAAAGTAAAATAAAGAAAAGAAAAAAAAGAAAGGGAAGGGAAGGAAAAAAGGAATGAGTGGATGGAGGAAAGGAAAGGAAACGGCTAGCGCTTTTCGCCCACCAAGTTTGGGGGGGGTCCTTGTCCACATCTTATTTTGTTCCCTTCCCATCATCCCTTGCTGGTTTTGACCCCTTTGCCCCCCCTGGCAGAGTCGGGGAGCAGCACGGAGAAGCTGGCCCTCATCGTGGGCACGGCGGCCTTGGGGAGCCTCCTCATCTTGGCCGTGGTGATCGTGGCCGTGGTCTGCCTCCGGTAAGGCGCTGCTTCCCAAACGGAGGAGCGGGAGGGGCCAGGAGAATGTGGGAGGGGCCTAATTGCTTAGCCAGCACTGGGGAAGGCGTGGGAAAAAGGCGGCCAGGCGCCTGGGAATTCTGGCATCTAAGGCAGTCTACAACGGAGGAAGATGGGGACGAGCTGGTGGGACGAAGGAGTTCAGGATTGGCTAGCAGGATAACGGTTGAACGGAGGCGCAGGGATGTGGCTGTGGGAGAAGCTAATGGGAGTGGGCGGGGCTTCCAGCAAGCATCCCTTTTTTTGCCTTCTCCGACAGGCGCCAGGGGTCCTCGGCCTCGCGGGAGCAAGAATATTCGGACAAACCTGGACAATACTTGATTGGGCACGGTGAGTGGCAGAAAAGATTCGTGGGTGGGGGGGGACGGGTGCCTGTTGAATTGTGGGAGGGGGCTGGAGGGGAGTTTATTTGCAAGATTATTTATTTGTAAAATTTATTAGCCGCCCATCTCAACCCCGCAGCTTAAAAAATAAAAAGATAAAGCTAAATAAAACCTAGTAATATAAACACAACACAGGCCGCTCCTCAGCTTTATGACCAGAATTTTTTGTTGCTTAAGCCAGAAATTTGTTAAGTGGGCTTTGCCCCGTTTTACGACCTCCCTTGCTACGGTCGTTAAACAAATCACTGCATTTGCTAAGAGAGTCACACAGTCGTTAAGCGAACCCGGCTTCCCCCATTGATGTGGCTCGTCAGACGGTCGCAAAAGGGGATCGCGCGACACCCGGGATGCTGTGACCGTCGTAAATACGAGTCAGAGGTCAAGAATCTGAATTTTGGTCATTGTGACCCTGGGGGTGCTGCAGGGGTCGTAAGTGCGAGGAACGGTCCTAAGTCCCTTTTTTTCAGGGCCGTTGTAACTTTGAACGGTCACTAAACGAAGTGTTTGTAAGTCGGGGAATAGCTGTACTACTAAAAAACAACAACAACCCCATATTGGTCGGAGTCCGTTGGGGGGAGCCCCCCTTAACGGCCCCCCCTG